AACCGTTCACGAAAATAACAAATGTAAATAAAAGGGTGTTGAACTGTATGTGGGATGATTCTACTTTTTAAAAAAGAGAAATAGATTTATTCTCTTTGCCTCTCGCCTCTCTCTTCCGCTCTTACAACACAAACAGGTATATCCTTATTCAGACGTCTGGAAGCACATACACCAAAATATTACAGTGGCTTCCTGTTGGTGGAGAGATATGTTAACTTAATTTCTTCTCTTTGCTCATCTGTATGATTTGTAATTTTTCTTCAGTGAACATGTAATGCTTGTATAATTGGAAAAATAGAGCTTTAATTTCACATGCAGTGCACAGAGGGCCTGAAGCGTATATATGGAGGGGGACCCTGGGCGGGGGGGGGCTCTGTCCTCAGCCCTCTGCCCCCTTCTGCCACTTAGGGCTCATGTAGACTTGGGATTCTCTTTGTCTTAGGAAAAGTGGAGCTTCCCATTAACTAAGAGATGGGCTGGGGCAGAAAGCCTCAGAGGACCATCAGGTAGCTCCTCAGTGGCCTTTGGGATAATAGATACATCTGGTACTTAGAAGCTGGTAGAGTAAGGGAGGCAATTTGTAGCCTGGCATCTCTACAAACTGCACCCAGTGCCTCCTTTTCATTAGCTTTGCCTAGCCTGGCCCACCAGCGCTGGTGGTGGCCCCCAGCTCTCTCCCACCTGGGGATGGGCAGGAGAGAAATGTCTTATACAGGGGTGCTGACCTATGAGAACCAGAAAGCTTTCCCTGGGCTCTCAGAAAATACAGTGCACTTAGAGTTGTTTCCTCCTGTCACTTATTCCCCTAGAGAAATCTGTGTAAGGGGGTAGATGGAGGGGGGACTAGAGCAGCGCCTCCCAGAGCCATCACTCGGCAGGCGTGCTGCGGAGTGGTTAGGGGCAGGCTCTGGAGGTGCCAGCTACCTCTGGGTGTGCAAAACTCTGCTGTAAACTAGCTGCATGACCTTGGGCAAACGTCGAAGCCCTCTGGGCCTCGGTTTCCTCATTGGTAAAGTCTAGATGATAATGTACACGTTAGGAAATACGTGTACAGCACCTTGAATAGAATCTGTCACTTGGCGGGCACTCAGCAAATATACTATGCCATATTGTTGTTCCATATGTCCTTTTCTATTATTTTAGTTAATTTTTTTGGAATAGATAATACATACACATGGCACAAATTCAAAAGGTAAAAAAAAATAATAATAATAATACAGTAATATAATCGATCAAGTAATGCTCCGTCATAAAGATGTCAATGCCCTAATATTTGGATCCTATTACCATGCTAGCTGGTGAAAGGGACTTTCGGATGTAATTTAGGTCATGAACTTTACGAAAGGGAGATTTTCCTGGACTATCTAGGTGGGCCCCATCTGGTCAAACGAGCCCTTAAAAAGCAGAGAATCTTCTCAGGCTCTAGTTGGAGGGCTGCTGCCAAAGAGGAAGGCCCGGAGAGTCCAAATGTGCGTGTGACACCACTGGCTGTGGCAGGAGGGGACCATCTGGCACGTGGCAGCCCGGAGGCTCCAGGACTGGCTTCCGGTGACAGCCAGCGGGGAGACTGGGACTTCAATCCGACAACCACCAGGAATCGAATTCAGCCAACAACCTAAATGACTAAAAAGCAGATTCTTCCCCACAGCCTCCAAGAAGGGACAAGGCCGGCTGACAGCTTGATTTCAGCCTCATGGAACCCTGAGTAGAGATATCGGTGGATCCAAACCAGACTTCAGGCTGTGAGATAAAACATTTGTATTGTTTTAAGCCATGAAGTTTTCCATAACTCAAGAGAAAACTAGCCTAAGTGAAAAGTAAGTTTCACTCCTACCTTGTTCTCCCTCATCCTCCACTTTCTTTTCCTGGAGACAACCTCCCTATGTTTTGAAGGGAAAATCAGAAAAGGGGCTCACACCTGGAACACTTTAAACTGAGAGATCTTTGGGAAGATCAATGAGTAGGAAGAACGATATTTCTCGTACGTTTTCTTAGGGAAGTCCTCGAAGCTGCATTGTGCCACGCGTAATTCCGTCCACGTGAAAGTGATTAATGAAACAGTAGGAACATTTGGGATATTGATGAATCTTTACAGCAAAGAAAATCACAACTACTTAGAAAATGTGGATAATTATGAACGCAATGGTGAACTTAAAAGATTCAAAGGTATCATAAAGGAAATCTCCCTGTGTGAAAATTTAAAAGGTTTTCTTTTAAGAGCTATGAAAAAGCTTCTGAGTGGTCCAGTCACGTTCCTCCCAGAAACCAAAACCTCTAGAGAATGGGGGGAGAGGGAGAGAGAGAGAGAGAGAGAGAGAGAGAGAGAGGGGAAGAGAGGAAAGGAAGGACCAGCAGTCAAGTTGAAGAAGAGAATTACACAAACAGCAAAGCCTTGTAAATATCCCAAATGGAACCTAAGCTGCAATCACTGCAAACAGGTCTGGGACAAGGTAGAGAAAAGACGGTCCTTTAGATAGATTGAGGTCATTTTGTATGTCCCTGCATTGACCAATAATCAGTCTGCAGCCTTTTATTTCTTGTGCTTACATTTGGAAAGTTGACAATCTATCAGCTAATATTTATATTTTAAACTTGGCTTTTTGGGACTTTTTTTTCCTGGTGTTGGTGGGAGAGGGGAGGTCAGGAAAGGAATACAATAGGTCACCCAGTGGATGTGTGAGCATATTCTTTGGGAGAAATGACCGCACCTACCAAATCACAGAAGGCTAGAAACTGACTTACGTGTTGAAAACTCACTGTATTTTACTTGATCCAACCGATTCATAATTGAGAAATCAATTTAAAAAATGCGTTATGAAAAAAATGCATCATGAATAGTTGGAGGAAATAAAGTATAATGACTCATTTGATGAATATTAGCCCTTGTGGGAACACTGTAATCATCCCTGTATCATATGGATAGTGAAAATACATAATATTCATTCAAGTCACATTACAAAGAAGGCAAAATGCAGTTTCCTCAGGACAAAAAATATCAAAATATATAATGGTACTGTCAGAAGAGTTTTTTTTTTTTTAAGAGAAAGCAAAATAAAGAATCCCATTGCTTTGCTGTAATTTTCTCAAGAGATTTCTCCCTGAGAGGAATAAGATGTAACTCATAGACTTTTATTCCCACCCAACGAATATATCACAATGTGTGAGATTACCCAGTTCACTTGTAGATTGTACCTCCCCAAACTCAAAGTTACAGTTACATTTATTTCAAAGAAAGGCCAGAAATAATCTCCTCTGAAGTCTTTCTGTCTGTTAACACACACCACAGAGCCCCAGGAATGATGCACCCCATGTGGCCTCTTTTTCCCTAACAAAAGAATCTCTCGGAGCTGAGTGAGTGCTTTCTATAGCCAGGGCTCCTGAGTCTTTTTGCTCTTGGCTGAATAAGAAAGGTGTCTCAGCTAAGGTGGTTTTGATTAATAGGATGCCTTTAAGGTTAGCAAAGAGAACCTGATTTAATTTGCTCTGGCAGAAGAACGGGGACAAGTAGCATCTACCACAGGTAAAAGGAAAAGGCAAACAGAGGTCCTCGTCATACCCACACTGAGGACTATAAACTTTAGGCATGGAGTTTGGGTTGCTCATGGTCTTCTTTGGTCTATCTCAAGTTCTCTTTTCGTGGCTAATGAGGAAGACCTACACCACATGTAGTTAAAATAACCCCCAGAAGAAGCAGGCATCCTAATTATGAGAATTATATCAAAGAGCATTTTTATCTGTTAGGACTGTACATCTTCAGGAGACAAATTATTAATACTCACGCAACTGTTCTACTTGTAATCAATTTCCTGAGAGCTTTCCATATCCAGCCTTGTCAGTTGGATCAAACTGCGTGCATCTAGTTGCCAGTTGGATTATTGCTGGTTAAACTATGTTGTTGCTCATTTATATGAGAAATATGGGATCACATACTCTCGTTCTAACTGAAGCACGAAAAGCCTTATAGAAAAGCAATGTACATTTTATCTTTAAATCTAAAAGTGATATCGACTGCTGGTAACACTTGCTGTTATTTTGCTTTTTGCACTAATCTTGGAGGAAAGTTTTCAAATACATTTGTCAAACGATTGACAAGAAGTGCCTCCTTCTTGTTCCATTTATAAAGCTACGGTTTCCTATCTCATTATCTTTTAAAGACTATGAAAAAATAAAAAGGTGACATGCTATTCTTGACTGTGGGAAGGTCCAGTTACCATGGTCTTGGCAGGAATTTGGGACTGCCTATTCTATAGAATCCAAAGTAGCTCACTTCTGTGATACTAGGAAACTAGTATCTAGTACCCAAGTAAGCTTTGGGTTTTTCCATTTAAATCCCTGTGGATGGAAAAGAGTCCTCAGCTGATTTCTCCACTTATTTGTCTCATTGTCTGCCTAATGGAATCAGGTGGGTGGTTTGCTGCTGAGCTTTGATTGCGACGTGCCATGCCTGGTGGGAGCTTCTTGGGTGGAAAAGGTGGGGAGCTGACAACAGTGAGAATCACTGTGGGCAGCAAATCTGAGCTGCCATGTGTTCTAATTAATATTCCACAAATCTTTTAGGTCTCAGCTTCCAAGCCACTTCCTCAAGGAAGCCTTTTCTGACTCGCCCAAATTAAATGTTTCTCTTCCTTATTTCACAGCTCCATGTACCTCTCCTTTTACCATGCTCATCCAATTTCCAAGTATTTGTCCATCTTTCCCCATAGCCTGTAAGCTCCATGAAAGATGGGGATTGTGTCTATATCACTACTACTTACCTTTCAATTGTGTGTAGACTGGATGCCCACCATAATTTTTTCTTTTGAGTGTAGCACTTGCATCTTAGAAGGTGTCAAGTTTTGTGCTGGACTGTAAGCATGGCTTTAAGAAAACTTTCCACTTCACCCCTAGGCTTTTTTTTTTTTAATCAAGTTTCTTCCAGTTTCCTTGTTAATAAGCTCAAGCCAATGAAAACGCAACTCTTCTCCTGTTTTATGGGAAGGCTTTATCGAAGACTGCATGGGAGCTTGCTCATTTGGCCAGGTGGTCTGCATGCACATCTGCTCAGAGGTGGACACGAGGCAGTCACTTCATTGCTTGGAAGGTAAGTACATTCTGCAACTAAATTCATTTTTCAGCCCACGGATTCTCAGTAAATACTTGCTGAGTTTAGAAATCAGTGGTAGAGGAAGTGGTAATGTGGGTTAAGAGGCTTACATTTGGGAAAGCACATTCGGCCTCCCACATTCAGATCTTGACAAAAGGGTCTCAGACCCATAATAACAGTATTTCTATTTTTAATCATGTTTTCCCATGGAGTTAACATTTAGTGATTTATAGTAGAATAATTTTGGGAAGTTGAATTTATGTCTCTTTGGGGCTGAAAGCAAACTGATGAAAAGAAAATGCAACGTGGGTAGTCTGCAGGTGTAGCTAATTGCTGTAAAAGACTCAGGATTCCTGGGACACCTGGGTGGCTCATTACGTTAAACGCTGGACTCTTGATTTCGACTTAGGTCATGATCTCAGGATCGTGAGATTGAGCCCTGCATTGGGCTCTGTGCTGGGCGTGGGGGCGTGGAGCCTGCCTAAGATTCTCTCCCTCTCTTTCTGTCCCTCCCCCCACCACCACCAACAACAAAAACAAGACTCAAGATTCCTTCACCTTCTTTGGTGAAGGAATCATCTTCCAGGATTTCTCCCCAGGTCCTAATGGGGTTAAGTGGCTTCCTCTCTGGGAACTAGAGGATTCCCTTCCCACCTGCAAGGCATTTGTATATTTACAGTCCTCTGGCTCTTGCCCCGGATCTTTATGAATCACATGGTTGCCTTCTCCCATCTGTATTTTATAAATTCTCCTGGTGAATTTTTGGAGAGAAAATGTACGAGTTAGCATGGGTAGGAAGTAATTACAGTTTTCAGTTCCCAATCTTTATCTCCTTCTAAGGGAGTGAAGAAAGAACTAAGACCTTTCTGATGGTTAAGATTGTAAACCTGTGGGTGCTCTTGGAAGCTGTGGAGAAAGAGAGGCTATACAAATGGAAATGAATCCCTCTCCCACCCCCATATGTAATGCCTGGAAGACAAACTAGAGAGGAAGACAATTTTAGGAGCTTAAAGGACATTTGTTCATCATATGCATTTCCCAGGATTTCAGGTAAGCTGAGTGGATTTCGTTTCGGACACTATGTAATGAAATGCAGAGCTAATTTTAGGAGTTATTATTCATCAATCAATTAAGTCAGGAAGTTATTTAGTACTACCCAACTTCCCCCCCCCCCAAAAAAAAACCAAACCAATTTTTCTAGGTTTCCTTGTTTCAGTCACTTTGCCATGATGAGCAGGCAGGGGAAACTGGACCTTGGAATGCAGGTCATGATACACAGTGTGAGCATCCATCTGCTTTGTGAGGAAAACCTGTGACCAGGGCTGTTGCAGCGAGGAACAAGGGAACACACCTGACTTTAGGCTGTCCATTCCTTCCTGTGCTATATTATTTGGTTTTTTTAGTTGGAAACTATCAATTTCTTGCTGCTATGTAGTACCCATCCTGCCGGAGGAGGGTAATATATCCCTGTCCTATTGAACTCAGGTGTGGCCACGAAACTTGATTTGTCCAAAGAAATGCTAGTGAAGGTGACTTGTTAGACTTCCGAGCAGAAGACCAAAGGGCTATTGTGTGGTTCTGCCATAGTTCTTTCTTTTTGCTGCATACCGGCCAGGTCACAGGTAGAGGCTGCTCCCTCAGTCTGAGCCCCCATAGGAAGCTGACCTGGAGAAGCACCACTGCTGATCTGGGATAGACATGTAGCCTGAACAGGAAGTAAGCCTCTGAAACTTGGAGTCATTTGGTACCACAACACCACAATCTATCTTGACTGATACAATCGTAAAAACATTTGGAGCCTTGTCAGTGGAAATAATTTTGCCCTTCTCCATCTTTGTCTGATTTCTTCTTATAGAAAGCAACCCTATTACCAGATGTAAGGATACTTTTCCAGGTTAGAGTTCAGGCTTAAGAAAAAGTTATGAAGTTGTTCGCTGAAAAATGAGATTTCTACATAGTAATATACTCCAATTAACTTCTGGAAGAGTTGGACAGAGAGTGGTAGCTCTCCAAGGGCCAAGATCTTGTTGGTCTTTGTCGGTGCTATGTCTCTGGTCCTTAGCCAGGTGACTTGCCTATATAATTGCCTTCAGGAATTGGATAATGAATTCAGCTTGGATAATGTATGAAGTTGGACATCTCTATTCTTCTAGGTAACATGTAGCATTTTGGATGAAAAAAAAATTATGTTTAGGGTTTGAAAAGCAAGTTAAATCAAATAAGGAACCGAGAGACCAACATGGGTCTAAAGGAGTCTGCTAGGGCCACGCCAGGTATCACAACCCCACATGTCACTCAGACCCATGCCAAAAGCAATGAGTAAAGCAGGCTGGGTCATTGTCAGCACAAAGATGGCTTCCTTCCCTTTTTTTCTTGAAACATATGGTTCTCTTAGTCTATCTTTAACTCCCCCGCATTTTGATATGGATGTATGCGAGAAATATTTTTCTCTCTAACTTGACTATAGGAAAAACAAAGGCTCAATTATGATGACAATCCATCCCTCATGGTCACCTTTGGTTTCTAGGGGACAAAAGAAGTGATAATTTGAAAAGCACATGTCCTAGCAAAAGGAGTCAGGTGTGTCTCAGCACCCTTGAGTGCTGCCATGTTTGAACATGGGCCTGGTCTTCCCAGAGCATCCTAGTGTTTAGGAGCAGCTGACAATCTGGATTTTGGTTTTGAATTTCCCAGTCTTTGAATGTTGGCAACTAAAAATTAATATTAAGTTCAGTGGAGGATAATACCATGCAGGCCCAATAACACAACTTTGCAGGGCCGATCTGACCCTAAGCACCAGTAACAACTTCTGACCTTGGTCTATTTTTATAAGTATGGCTTCTGGGATGAAAGCTCTAGACTATAAGATTATATTTGCATAGGTGTGTGTGATTTTTAGAAAACACCTGGAGGAAGAGCTGATGCCAGCTTGCCGGCCCCCAAACACAGACTGGTGACTCATCACCTGAGCTGCCACGAGGAAGCAGGAGGCTGCTATCCGTCCTTTTGGAGTCTCGGAGTCTCTCTGAACATTGGTGTTCGGGCCAACGCCCTTTGACTTTGAATATTTCTAAGATTAAATTGGAGATTTGGGTACTAACTATATATTTAGAGTGTCCTTGCTGAAACAAAACATTTTATTTTTGTGTAAATGTGTTCATTTCTTGTTTCTTTTTCTCAGATAACACTAGAAAATTTCCAGTCTCCTCCCAAGGGCAGGGATGAAGGCCTGCATGAAGATATACATGGTTAGGGGTCCTAGGACAAAAGATGTTCTGGTAAAGGAGAGAAAGACCTGTGTAGGAGGAGGCATCCTCATTGTTTTCAGCTTTTCTAAGATTGGAAAGGTGTGTACCTCAGCAGTGGCTACTGTTTGAAGATGTCTGTGATCTTCAGGATGGACTCAATGGGTGGAAGTCAAAGAGGACAATTGTTTTGTTTGTGTCTACCCAGTAGCACTGCAACACCTTTCCTGTATTTTGTAAATTTCTGCCACTTTTAGATCTTGCCCCTGAAGGTAGAAGGCAAGTCTTGTGTTCCTAGATCTCGCCTTCCCAGTCCATCTTACAGCTGGTGCCCAGTTACCCAGGCTCTGTGTGACAGGTTTCTTCTGTTTGTCCCCCCAGATCCACTTTCTACCCTTCTCTACCTGCCTTGCCCCCCAGGAGGCTGACCTGCGTGGACCATATGACCAAGATTTCCCTGCCTCTGGCTTCTGGTTGGGTTTAGCCAATGGGAGGCATGAAGATATTGGAGAGAGGAAGTAGTAGAGAGCAGGGGAGCACCGATTCCCCCAGCTCCATCGATGCCAGGGAAGTATTCTAACTGTTCCAGGAATAGACAGTGGCAATGTCAGAGAGTCGTGGACATAACTGATGACCTTGCCAACTTGGTGGGCAATACAGATGAGAAACTTCATCCTGAAAGCAGGTCTGTGAATATTGTGGACAGCAAGTCAACGTCTTGTGGGATGACAATGGTGATTTTATTGCTCTTTGTGGCTGTTGTGATCATTGCAGTCTGGCCTACCGACTAGGGGTGATTAAAGGACCACCAGCCATGAAACTGCCAGTGAAGGAAAAAAAGCTCAGCACCCTTTTGATACATGAAAGCTGCTCTCAATAAATTCCCTCAAAGCTCTGAAATGAAACAAAAGGAGACAAAACAAAAAACTGTTTACTATCTCTACTGGCTATTCCAGGAATAGCTCCTTCCCCTTGGCCCTTCAGATGTAGGTGCAGTAATAGTTTCCCCCTTGGGATAGTCCTTGGGTGCATCACTATCCCTTCCCACATCAAGATAAATTGTCCTCCTAATAAAAACTCCGAAATTATCCTTTCGATTATGCCATCTCTTTCCTGCCTAGACCCCCCACTGATTCCGTTCTGCCCATCAAACCTGATTTTGCCAAACTTTGACCCAAAGCTGGTGACAGGAGAGTGTCAGGATGGAGAGACAGATGACTTTTTGAGTCAGCTTGGCTGAGCCATGGTACCCAGATAATTGGTCACACATTATTCTGGAGTTTCTGTGAGGTTTTATTTTGTTTTTGGTATTTTTTGGATGAGATTAACATTTAAATTAGCAGGCTTTGAATCAAGCAGATTTTTCTCTCCAGTATGGGCCTCATCCAATCAGTTAAAGGCCTGAATAGAATGAGAGACTAACCTCCCCAAAGTGAGAGGGAATTCTGCTAGCAGTCTGCCTTTGGACTTGCATTGCAACTCTTCCCTTAAAGCTTACCCCATCCGATATTGGACTTATCAAGACTCATCGCTTCTCGGCCTTTTGGCTAAGATCAAGTGTGGACTTACCAAGATTCCACAATCACATGAGCCCATTTCGTAAACCAATAAGATACACACACACACACGTTCTGTCTCTCTGGAAAACCCTAACACACATGGTGAACTTGATTTCTTTCTTTGGAGGTTAGGCTGTGAGGTAGAATTCCTGGTATGGATGTGACAGTGGCTCAAACTGTACAATGATTGGTTGGTGGCAACGGTGATGGTAACAGTTTCCTAATCAGCCTGGTTCTGCCATGTGTTAGGAACTGTTTCTAGGAGCTCATTCAAGCCCAGTTCTCCAGCCCTCCAAAGGGTTTTGTGACCTGCTTAACAACCTTCGAATATTGTCCTTTTGCTTATTCAAGCAGAGTCCATCTTCTGTTGCTTACAAGCATTAACCATGACAGAAGCATAAAGTACAGGTAGAGAAAGGTCAGACTGCAAAGAAGAGAAAGTTTTGTTTTTGTTTGTTGACTTAAAGAATAGTTATAAAATATGGTTTCATGTTATGAAAGTAATACATTTTTCTTGCAATAAACAATAAATATATTGTCATCCACCCGTACTATTATTTCTTCCTTTATAGTGTAGTGTACTTCTCCAGACTGGCACAAATGATAAAGGACTCAAGAATGTTGTTATTGTTCCCTCATTTAATTTCACTTCCGAGTACCTCTGTGATCTTGATTCAGCATGAAGAAGCAAATGTGACGGTGTTTGCAAGAGGCTGCCTTTCAAGATGGTGTATGCAATGTTGGTCTCTGTTCCTTTTTCTCCTTCTCTATAGAAATACCAAGGTAAGCTTGCAGTTTCCGTGATGTTTGTAGAGGATTAATTTCTATAAAACAGAAGATTCCAAAACCTGCCTGCGGAATAGCCCTACTTGCTGGACAACACAACCAATGATTTTTGTTTCTGATTTTTTTTTTATATAGATTTTATTTATTTGACAGAGGGAGACACAGCGAAAGAGGGAACACAAGCAGGGGGAGTGGGAGAGGGAGAAGCAGGCTTCCTGCCGAGCAGGGAGCCTGATGTGGGGGCTCGATTCCCAGGACCCTGGGATCATGACCTGAGCCGAAGGCAGACGCTTAACGACTGAGCCACCCAGGCGCCCCTGCTTCTGATATGTTTTAACTCTTTGGCTTTCATGGGAATGCATGAAAGAGGAAATTGTGAGAAAATGTTGGTTTTCCTCTTGTTATATGGCCCTATCCCTAAATGGAGCATTTTTGTGCAATATCCTTCTAAGTCTAGCAATTGTTTTTTTTTTAAATAAATAGACTATTTTTTTAAGAACAGTTTTAGGTCCACAACAAAATTGAATGGAAAGTACAGAGCATTCCCATATACCCTCTGCCCCCACATAGGCACAACTTCCCCCACTTCACATCCTTCACCAGAGTGGTACATTTGTTGCAATTGATGAACCACCCTTGACACATCATTATCACCAAAGACCATAGTTTATATTAGGCTTCACTCTTTCTGTTGGATGTTCTATGAGTTTTGTGAAATGTATAATGACATGTATTCACTCTACTATCATACAGAATAATTTCGCTGCCCTAAAAATCCTTTTTTTCCTGCCTATTCATCCCTCCTTTTCCCCAAATCCCATAATGTCTCCATAGTTTTGTCTTTTCCAAAATGTTATATACTTGGAATCACACAGTATGTAGCCTTTTCAGGTTGGCTTCTTTCACTTAGTAATATGCCTTCAAGTTTCTACCAAGTCTGTATTCATAAGCCAGACCTTATTTCTTTTTAGTGCTGATTACATTGTACAGATGTACCACAGTTTATCCATTCACCTATTGAAAAACATCAACTTAAAACAATTTTTTAAAGATGGTGGTGCCGGGTCCACATTTAATTTTAATAGCTGTGTATATCATGTTAAGGCTAAACAACAGTTAAAAGTAGGACAAGAGCACAAGCAAATTCATGAATTAAAACTTCTGTTGCCTTTTCTCATTTGTACTTCATGACAACATTTATGTCTTTGCTGCTCCCTGAGCTACCTATTTCTGAATATATTTTGCTTCGATTGTATTAACGGGAACTCTTTTTGTTGCCCATGCGCGGCACTCCAGAGATCACATATGAGGATCCTACTCCATTTATTCTTAAAAAAAAAAAAATTCAGTTTATTTATTTGAGAGACAAAGAGAGAGAGAGAGAGAGAGCACAACAGGGGGAGCTGCAGAGGGAGAGGGAGAAGCAGGCTCCCCGCTGAGCAGGGACCCCCCCCCCGATGCGGGACTCAATCCCAGGACCCTGGGATCATGACTTGAGCCAAAGGCAGATGCTTAACCGACTGAGCCACCCAGGCACCTCTCCATTTATTCTTCCAGTCAATATCTAATGGGAAAATATAAACTTTTCTACATACTCCAAACAGAGAGAGATTTGATGCAGAGAATTGATTGTAAACAACATCTTAGATTGGCTAGAGAAGCCACAGCAGGAAGTTGGTGTTTTCCAGTAGCCAGGAAGATGCTTCGCCAAAACCCGCAGTCTGGAAATACAGAACAAGTGCCAATGCCATATTCAGAGATACCAGAAAATTTAGAATTATAGTACCAGAACTTTAAAATAATTATAATAAATATGCTAAGACCACTAATGAAAAAAGCGAACACCATGTAAGAACAGAGGGATAACATAAGCAGAGATATAGAAGTGCTAAGAAAGCATCAAAACAAGGTGTTAGAAATGAAAAACACGGTAACAGAAACGAAGAATGCTTTTGAGGGCACTTGGGTGGCTCAGTCGGGTAAGTGTCTGACTCTTGATGTCAGCTCAGGTCTTGATCTCAAGGTCGTGAGTTCAAGCCCCTCGCTGGGCTCCACGTTGGGTGTGGAACCTACTAAAAAAAAAAAAAAAAGAAAAAAAAGAATGCCTTCCATGGGCTCATCAGTAGACTGAATGTGACTAAGGAAAAGAGAAAGATCAGTGAGCTTGAAGGTATGTTAATAGAAACCTCCCAAGTGGGAAAGTAAAGAGGAAAAAGGAAGGAAAAAAATGGAACAGAATATCCGCATACTGTGGGACAATCACAAATGGTGTAAAATAACACAAAATGAGAATATTAAGAGGAAAAGAGGGAAAGGAAAGGAAGAAATATTTGAAACAACAATGACTGAGAATTTCCCCCAAATTAATGTCAGATTTCAACACAAAGATCCAAGAAGCTTAGAGAACAACAAGCAAGATACATGCCAGAAAAACTACACCTCAGCATATCATTGTCAAACTGCAGAAAATCAAAGACAAAGAGGAAATCTTCAAAGAAGCCAGAGGAAGAAACCCACCTTACCTCTCAAGAAACAATAAGACTTCTCTTCAGAAATAATGCAAGCAAGAAGAAAGTGGAGTGAAACAGTTAAAGTATTCAAAGAAGAAAGCCACCCACCTACAATTTTGTATCTAGTGAAATTATCCTTGAAAAGTGAATGAGAAATAAAGACTTTTAAGACAAACGAAAATTGAAGGAACCCGTTGCCAGTAGGTCTGCCTTATAAGAAATGTTAAAAGGAAAGATATGAAAATGGATATACATTTTCATTGGAGGACCGAAAAATCACTTTGCAAAGGGTCATGGATACAGGAAAAGATGGAGAATTTGGCTCATTTTTGGCAATCAATATACACACAGAGATACTTTTAGGTATTTTCAAGAAAAGGGAGTTTGTTATAAAATGCATATTTCTAGATATTGTGGCAAAGAACTAGACTAGACAGAGATACTCCATTTTTCTAAGTCCTATTATATGGTTTGTCTTTCTTTTTCTGTCACATCTATCCAGACCTCCAGTACTAATTCCTGAGTGAGAGTCTGATGGGTCAGTTCTGTCATGGACCACCCACCAAACTGTAGACTGCCACCCATATTCTCTTAGCACTCAGCATTCCGGTAATTGCCAGCATTATGCTACTCTAAGTATCTGCAATTCTCTGCCTGAGGTCTTTCTTTTGACCCAAACTTGTGAGGCAGTCTGGCAGTTCTGAGGAATTGTCCTAAATCAACAGCAATCGGGAATTGGTAGACATGGCAGATTGTTTACATTGATGGCACTAATTCTTTGACCCTCTCTGAATCCATGCCCCTTACACTATGACTTCGTAGTTTGTCTCACTAAAGGGAGGGCATCTATTTCCCCATCATTTGAAACTGGGCTTCATGTTTTATTGGTCTGTAGGATGTTAGCAGACTTGATACAGCGGCCTTTGGTGCATTTCTGCTTTCTCCCCTATTCTTCTGTGATGGCCGTGAGAGCATGGCCAGACTAGCCTGTCAAAGGTTGAGACATATGGAGCAGCCAAGGCCTTCGTAGAACAGCTGATGGTCAGAGGACCCCTGGGCATGGAAGAGAAAGGCTAGCTGAGATCAGCAGAGCCAACTAGCCAATCCACAGCTGGGCTGCAGATACACGAATGAGCTTAGCTAAGATCAGAAGAAACTGCCCAGCTGACCTGCAGATGCATGAGCAGAATAAATGGCTGTATTTTAAGCTACTCTGCTCTCCTTGAACTACCAGCTTGGAGGGATAATGATTTAGGCAAGAAAGATTAAGTTCTTGACTTCTTTGGCAAGAGATAGGCTTGAGCATTAGGCATTATTGAGAAGGGGGGATTTTTCTAAATTTCTTTAGTTCTTTTTGTAGACTGGGTATTGTTTTTTAGAAACTTTTTATTGACATGGTATATAATCAGAAAAGTGTATATATCATAGATGTATAGCCCAACATATTTTCACAAACTTAATATACCTAGGCGGCTGGCTCCAGATCCAGAAACAGAACATAACCAGCACAGCAGGAAGGGGATGATGTTATCTATGTTCTTATTACCTGCCAAATCCATAACTAGTGCAGTACAGTTGCTGAGATCCCATAGGAGTTTAAGCAAACAGCTTCGCATGTGCCTGGCCACGTGTCAGGGCACTGTGAGCTCCTGATTGGCTGAATTTCTTGTGATCTGTTGCATATTCATTAGAGTGTGGGTAATGG